TAGAGTAGAGTAGAGTAGAGTAGAGTAGAGTAGAGTAGAGTAGAGTAGAGTAGAGTAGAGTAGAAGAGAAAAGAATTGAATTCTTTATTGGCCAAGTGTGATTGGACACACAAGGAATTTGTCTTGGTGTAAATACTCTCAGTATACATAAAAGAAAAGATACATTCACATAAAAGAAAAGATACATTCGTTAAGATTCAAGAATCATCAGGTACAACACTTAATGATAGTCATAGGGTACAATCAACAATCAAATCATACTAGGAAACAGTCCATATAAATCGTAAGGATACAAGTGATAAAGTTACAGTCATACAGTCACAAGTGGGAAGGGATGGGTGATAAGGAGTGATGAGATTAACAGTAATAGTAGTGTACACTTTGTAAATAGTTGAACAATGTTGAGGGAATTATTTGTTTAGCAGAGTGATGGCTTTCAGGAAAAAACTGTCCTTGTGTCCAGTTGTTCGGGTGTGCAGTGCTCTATAACGTCGTTTTGAGGGAAGCAGTTGAAACAGTTTATGTCCGGGATGTGAGGAGTCTGTAAATATTTTCACAGCCCTCTTTTTGACTTGTGCAGTATACAGGTCCTCGATTGAAGGCAGGTGGGTAGCAATCGTTTTTTTCTGCAGTCCTAATTATCTGAAGTCTGTGTCTGCCCTGTTGGGTTGCAAAACCAAACCAGACAGTTATAGAGGTGCAGATGACAGACTCAATAATTCCTCTGTAGAACACTTGCATCCTATAGAAAGAATCACTGAGAGTGTCAGAGGGATTCAAAGCGTAAAGGCGAAGAGCTTTGCTTGGCTGTTGAGATATCAGTATTGTTTCTTGGGGTGGGGTTGGGGGCAGCAGTTTGGGATGGAAAGAAACTTTGAATGGCTCCTTCTGCTCTCAGTTTGGCAGACTCACACAGGCCTGGAAAGTCTTTGCTAAGAAAAGAGCGTTCTGCTTCCCAGCAAAAAATAACCACGTATGCTAGTAGTTTTAAGAAGGATGCACCAGGGGAAACCATGCTCAGAGTTCTGCTCCAGAGCCTAAATGGAGTATCTTTCATCTCACCTGTGCTGGGATCCATGAACTCTCTTTCCCAAACAAAGGGAAAGTTTGCATTCCAATCAAGGGCAGTCATAGCAGGACCCAAGCTATGATCTTTTAGCAAAGTTGGCTCAGTGATGTTATTTCATGGTTCGTTGGGTATCCAACCCAGAATATTAGATGAACTGCATCAGTAAACCAGCATTCAAATAATCATGAGTAAATATGTCATGCAAATACAGCCTATGCAGGCTTGTGTTGTGGGAGCATTTACTCCACAGCTCCATCAACTGGACCGAGGTGTGTTCTCTGCTGTTGAAGGGATACACAGTCAAGTAAGCAGGTCCAAAGCGTTGTAACCTACGAATGCTCCTTAAAGGAGCTCTTCTGGGATTCGCAGGGAAATTAGGATTAAAGTGAAGGAGATCGCAAAAGCTATGACCCTAACTCGAAAACTGCGACTTTGTAATGCAAAAACACCCTCATTTGCTTTGGAGCTGAATGTTGTACACTTCTGTTGTTTCCCACCCTTGATTCAATAGAAAACTAAAGTGACATTGATGATCTCTCCCTTCTCTGTAGCTGCAGATGCCTGACTTACTTTCAAGGCGAGGAGTAACAAAGGCGCAGAGATTTTGTACATGTTGGTACTGCCAGATAGTGATGGAGGGTTGGGGAGTGGGAAAAAAAACCCTGACCTTTTAACATTTATCTAAGGATGACTTAAATCATTTATCTAAGGATGACATATCTAAGGATGACTTAAACATGTGCTGCATCCTTTGCATGTGATACAGGCAATGCCATGGGAACAGCATGGCAGAAGGAAAAAAGATGTTGCCAGAGTACACTTGTGCTGTACTTAGGTGCAAGTGAAGAAAGGCCATTGAGGCAACATTGATTTGGCCTAGAAACAAGGAGAGGCATAGAGGTGGATCCCTTCACAGCCATTGCTTCCACTGTAGAACCAGAGGTAGCCAGTTATATTTCTGGGTGGCAAACCAGGTGGTTGTGCAGATTCTGGGTAGGAAAACCAATCAGAGAGAGTTGTTATAGTTAAATTCCAACTG